GCTTTCCTTCTTAGACAATATAAAAAACAAGCATCCATACCCAACAATGTAAAGAGCATCGCAATCAATTCAAAATAACTTTTCTCCAAAAATTTGGTAAGACTAAGAAATAGGATTATGACTACATTTTATTAATTATAACCAAAATACAATTGAAAAGTCTACGAGCCTCAGGGGATACCATTTAACAAAGATTCCATTTTTTTCAAACAATCCATGGATAGAGAAAGCAAAAAAATCCAAATAACCATTCACCATGAAAGTTAACATCCTCCACACGAATCGACACACGACAAAAAAATATGCATAAACCCTATGAAACCCTCTTACCTCTCTGTATATTCTTAGGAACAGGCACAACTTTATTATTGCTATCGAATCTTCACAAAGATCATACTTTGAATTTCCTTTTAGTTAGATATAATTTAACCCAAAAATGTCAAACTCGAAGTCATAAAAGAGCATTTTCTTTAAATTGATGTACAGCTTCTGTTCTCTCAAAGTTATTTCAGAATCTCTTTAACATGAAAAAGGTGTTCAGATGGATGAATGCTCATAAAATCCAGAATATCATAAAATATATGCTAACAAACTTCGCATAAAAAGATCGTTAAAATATGATTCATTGTTTCGCGATGGAAGTACTCCGAGCGTTAGACAACCAAAAGGCATAACAAGCATTCATATAAGCCCTCTTTGGTTTTAAAAGCAATTTTTCATTCATGATCCAGGTCTAATTCTTATTTGATGATACCCACTTTCAAATCAATTTTTGAAAAAATTTTAAGCACCACTTAACATATTCCAGCATGTCATACCAGTCCTAGGAATAGAAATCGGTATTTGATGGGTTATTTTGTTTATAGCTCGGCCTATCTACGGACATATCTCCAAAGTTCCATCTTTATTTATAGAGGTAAGTAAAGCAACCGGCCACGCACAAGGACTCAGACTTTCTTGGAACTTACAGACCTTTTTTCGCCACGCAGTTCAGATACTTGTTAAAAAGTTCTTGATGTTCATTTTGGACTCATTCGTATTTAATGTAATGAGTTAGGTTAATTGTAGCTCACCAGGAAATCAAATCAATAATGATGTTGAATTCTCCTCATCGCGGAGGGTATATCCACGCTGGTAATCTCTCATCAAGTTATCAAATCAAAAATTCATCAAGCAATGGTTGTATTCCTAGGATCTCAAAATTCTAAATCAGACTCTTTTCCAAATAACAGATACTATCACATCAGATTTTGTTACTCGTTTGTGTTCAAAAGCAATTCAACAGTGAAGACTTTGACAGAGGTTTCTTTGTTCTTCATTTGTTATCGGATCAGAAGATTTTTTTTGTGGAAAGAGATTTGAATTATTTGTTATCTTTAATGAAAGAATATGTATTCTTTTCTCCATGTGGATGGTTTTATGATCATACTTGCAGGGACGACCCTAAAAGGATTATCGATTACAGCTTCCAGGCACAACCATCACAACATTTTGATTTTATAAGATTCCTCCAATCGGTTAAGTTCACAGGCATTGTTTATTGATAAATGGAACCTCACTTCCCGCTTTAAACCAAGAAGATTTTAATACGACTTAATTCAAGTAGGTTCGTTCTTCAGCTTTATTTTCTCACCATATCTGTTGTGTAACAAAGTTCCCTGAACTTCCACTATCAATCATTAAAGTGCAAACTTTTCCTTCAACAACATACAGGTAGTTCTAAAAATGTTCCTCCTAAAGCCATTATTTTTCCTTTCAAGTTTGAGCATTAAACTTTTGAATTCACACAATTGGTTCTCGCTTCATCACCCTTTATATAGTCAATATTTTTTCTAACTTGCTTCAGTTTTCAGATTCTATTTCATCTTTCTTTCATTCTATCCCCAAGTTTTGAATTTTTTCTTGTGTCCTCTTCTTAGTCTGTTGTGTTTTGTAAGTTTTTCCACGAAAGTTAATGCATGTCCGTTAGTTTTGAAGCCTTGCAAATTGTAACTTTTTACGATTATCCGGATTTGCTTTCCCAAAACGATCATGTTCTACAACAAACATCTACATGTTGTTATTCTTCCTCATCTATGATTTGTTCAATCGTTCATTTGCCTTCTATTCATGATGTATTTATTCCGTGATCTCTCCCAATTTTCTTTGTCGCCTATTTCGATTTCTAGGTTTTCCTCTTCACTCCCCAGAAGATATTAATTGTATGGTATTAGTGTTAGCTTGATTGAACATTTGAGATTAGACAAGTTGCGCTCTAGCTAACCGTATATTAATTGATGTTTGAAAATACATTTAATTGTTGCTTAACATTGTTGCCAAATCCTCTTGATCATTATTGCTTTTTTTTACACGGAAAGAGAAAGACTCCTATATAACCAAAAAAAGACGAACTTTGCTCTGATACTCAAATTGTATGGTAGACCACACAGAAGAAACTGACCGCAAGGATAGAACTTAAAACAAACTTTATTAAAAATAAGCAGACAATAAAAACTTGACAAACACCACACAAGAAATACTAGGAGAATTTTAGAAGAAATAAAAAAAAAAACGCTTATCCCAGACCAACCCGTCAGAGCGGGTTCCTCACATGCATCGAGAGTAGATTAAATAAGGAAAGGTATAAGACTAGCAAACCGATGTCCACCACTGCAAGACTGTCCCAAATGCTTCCAAAATCAACGCAAGCACGAACCCTAAAGTTGCTTCACTGTGAGGAAAGAGGATACAGATGGAGTGGCACTTGCGAAGGCACGAAAGTTAGAAGCGAGAAGAAAAGTGGAAAGAGCCCGCAGGATTTCCGGTATAGAGGATGAGAAAAGGAAGGTGTGAAAGAGCCCGCAGGATTTCCAAATAAAACCGCAGGGTAATAGCAAATATGCTCACAATATCAACTTCCTCTCTTCACAACATTTTCTCATTATTTATAGGCAAGAGAGAGGAAAGCCAAGGCCATAAGACTTCAATTTTTTTTTTTCATTAACAACCAAAGCATTAAGCATAGGGAATGCTTCCCCCCAAGCTCAACGGAAAACTACCCAACCAAGAACTAAGAGACAGCACGGGAGACGAAAGAATCCGCAGGACCAAAGAAGCCACGGCCACGGAAACGAGACCATCCGGAAGCAAGGAGCCCAGCCGTGAGATCCCAAAAAGGTAAAAGCATGCCCAATACATAAATTCTTATGCATAGAATCATCTCCCAATAAATATAAGCCAGGATCCCAAGAGACAAGAAGAAAAAGGAAGGAGAAGGGACAAAGGCCACTCCAAAAGAAACTTCTAATGATACCTTTTGAGAATTAAGAGCTACTAAACGTTCAGCTCAAGCAACTTTGAACAACTCAAAATCGAAGCTCCAAAACACAGGCCCACCGTGAACCACCAGCAGCCAGGACCAAATTCACAAACCAAAGGTCTACCAAGCCATATGCACTAACACTACCATGATCATTGGATGGCTTTATCCATCATGGGTAAGCTAAAAAAGAAAAGAAAACAAAATATACATTGTTCAAATAAAATAAAAAGTACATAAATTCTTGATAACATCAGTAATACAAAAATAAAATGCATAGCGTTCAATAACACGAAAAAATTAAAAATATGTAAACGTATTCTTGACTACATCAATATAAGAATGGTACAAAACCATTTAAGCCATAACACCTCCTTTATTTCTTTCAATAACCTTACCCTTTACAACACCATCTTCATATTGAAGTTACCTACAATGCTCACAGATCATATCATACTCAATAGACCACAAGCTCCAAATTGAAGTGCCACATGCAGCACTTCACGAACATCTACAATTAGGGGTGTAAACGAGTCGAGTCAAACTCAAGTTTGGGCAAGTTGGAGCTTGTCTCTTCAACTCATAGATAAGCTCAAACTTGAGCTCGAGCTCGAAACGAGCTCATATGGTGAGCTCAAACTCAGCTCGCCTGAGTTGCCTCGAGCTCAAGCACGACTCGCGAGCTTGCCTAATCGGAGAAGTTAGAACGTTTGGTAGCCGGAGTTATGGAGAAGTAGAGTGGGAGCCAAACTTGGGATCCATTGACAAGTTCACCCTTTGGAGAAGGACGAAGATTGAAGATAAAGAATAGATTTCTTTTATTGGGAGAAAGGAGTAGTTTTTTTTAAAGAAAATAGTAAAAGTTTTTTTTTATTTTTTTGAAAAAAACAAAACAAGCTGTCAGCTTTCCCAAAAAAACTACTGGGGCTGCAGTTTTCATTAATGACTTTAAATGCAATTAATATTATGTATTTTTTGGCAGGAAAGAATCGATTTTTTTTTTAAATAATACAAGTTTTTATTTTTTTTGTAATATCAGATTAAGCGTGCCTAGCTTGCAAGCCAACGAGCGGAGTCTTATCAAGCTCGAACTAGAGGTCGGTTCACATACGAGCTCGAAGCTTGAGCTAGAAGCTCGACTCGCGAGCTCATTATCGAGTCAAATTTGAGCCGGCTCGGCTCACTTACACCCCTATCTACAACCTCTTAAGTTAATCCAAGACATCCATTTACCTCAATACATGCTAAATTATATGAATACAACCTTCTAGGAGAGGTATGTTGAATATTTAGGTTCACTAGGATAGGTTTTTCATTGCTTTATCACACGGACCATTATCATATGCTTCTATTTGATTATAACTTTTTTAATACTATTAATATCTTTTTATGAAACGTTTTTCACAACCAAATCAGCAAGGGTTGTAGCAATAAAAAAGCTTCCATCCAACTTTTTTAGGAGAAAAAAATTATAATACCCACACTAGCTTTCAAAAACTTTGTTTTTTGCCGTAACAGTTTTACTTCTAATTTTATAGATAGTTTTAGCTGTCCCAAACATACTATTAGCTATAATGTCAACATGCGCCTATGGGCACCTATCCCATAGGCACATGGGGATTTCATTTTGTAGCAGCTTCAATGATACAAGAGAGTAACAATACAATATACACATGCATGCTCCTTATGAACTCCATCTCTCTCACATCTCATTATGCATGTATATTTCATTTTGTTTTTGCTTCAATAGTACAAGAGAGTCTTAATATGAATGAAGATATCATTTTTGCATTCAATTTAATGTACAATTTACATTCATTCTGGGTTGTTTGCATTTGTATCAACCATACATGCATTCAAATGGTATATAAAATGAAATACGCTAAAGCACTTCTTGCAAATGAATACATAATTATGACTTTTCATTTAAAGTGGGAAAAGGCAACTTGCAGAGAGAAAATTTCACAGTATGTTTGTTTTAAGCAAGATTGTAGTTCTCACCAAATTATGGACCTGATGATACCACCCACTTGGAACAAAGATAATCTCATTCTGTTCTTGAGTGCATTCCCACCAAACAGCCTGGTTAAGAAAAAAACGAGTCATATTTAGAAAAAGACGTCAAAAAAAGTAAATCTGACAGTTTATAGATATGAGAAAAAGATCAAAATTGTACCTTCACTTTTTATAAAAGATCAAAATGGTCCCCAATTATATTAAATGATCATTTTGGCCCCAAGTCTTTAAAAAAGAATCAAAACAATTCCACGGTGGGACTATTTTGGTTTCTATTTAAGGAGTAAGGGACCAAAATAATCCTTTAACTATTTTTGTCAAACGACATAAAATAGACTGGCACTATTCTTCACTATACAATCCAAGAACTAATGGTTTGACCGAAGCATTTAACAAAACTTTTGTCACACCCCAGTTTGACTCACCCTCTACCACGAACTGGAGTATAACAGAGAAAGATTTCAACGTATCAAACTCCACACTTAACAATAGGAAGCATGTAATATACCTTATTGAACCTCAACATAATTAAAACAAATACAGAGCTCTTCTAAAACTTTTAAAATTCATTCACATTCTCAAAAGTCTTTACATCTAGCATTCAGATCTCGTTTTAGATCACTTGCACCCCAAAACATACTTATATCAAAAGAACGGTCACCTCTTTTTATTGTCCCAAGGGCTCCTTCCCCTTTCCTGCAGTACAACCACTGCTAATGAGCTTGACTCAATGAAATACGCAAGCAAGTTATAAGAAATAATAATGAACCATTAAGAAATACCATAACTATGCTAACATAATTAAAACACATATTGAAATGTCATATTGAGCCTGAAAGTGCCTAGCAGTATTATTTATCTTACCAAAACTATTCCACATCTTTAAATAAGTTATAGAATGGCTTTAAGCTTTTACACCATTCAACTTTCCAATTCAAGGTTGGGTCTAATTTCCCAACTTTTAGAATGGAAGTTGTTCTCTCATTCAGGGTTGAGTCAAATTTCTCAACTTCTAGAATTAAGAGTGTAGGCTTACCTCATCAGGTATTTCGCCTTTACTTGTGCGGGCCTATCCCCCATATGTAACTTATTTCATTTTTCATATAGTCATACTTTTTAGAGCTAATGACATATGCTTTTGATGATATAGTTGCGCTTTAGCTGCTCTTCAGTTACCCTTTAGCTTCCCTTTAGGTGCGCTTTAGGTGCCCTTTGCTTGCACTTTAGTTGCGCTTTAGTTGCGCTTTATGAATATTTACCCTTCTATGCTTACTAAATCATTTACATTGCTAAAGATTATCCTTTACATAAACAAATTTATACATAAACAACCATATTCATTCAAATAATCAAAATAAACTAGAATACATGTGATCATAAACATAATGAAGATGGAGTGCGATAATAAAACATTTATTAATTCTTATAACCTTGTTTGGGTATCTCACCTCGGTATCCCGATTCTTTCTTCTTTTCCTTTTGTAAACAACCTTCACTAAACTTCCTCATTCAACACAACACCTTTACTTCTCTTTCTGTACTATATTTAGCAAACCAATTTCAACAACCCCTTTATTTCAGCAAATCGTAGCAGTAACTATTACTTACTTTCAGCAAACAACAATACCCTTACATGCATTTAGCTTTTCCTCCATTATCCTTACTGATTTCCACATTCAGCATTCAAAAAGAGTGACAGAAATCCACAATTTATGCGTTCTTGAACTGCAACTTCTCCATCACTAATCGTAGATTCAGCACTTGGTTTCTCCAACTTCCAGCAGTCGAATCCTCTACTATTACTCAGCTTGCTTGCACGCTGCTTCAATTCCAGGTGATGGGCAAATGAAAGTAATGAAGGGGACTTATAGGTCTACTAGTGCTTTACTGTAATATATAATATTATTATAAGATAGTGCATTTTCCACTACAATTCCACTAACATTCTAGCCATCTGATCTCCATCCAGCCCATGCATGTCAAGATTAGTGGAGACTACAGTAACAATTAATAAATTGATGTCAATTAATTGTTATTCATTAACTATAATATTAACTATAATACTAAACAGTTATTTAAAAGATACCTATTCATAGACATTTAAGATAATATTGATACCAAAATTACTCAAAATTCAATATCAAATTTGATGAAAATATTTTTGATACTTTCTATATGTGAGAGAATATAGGAGAAATTTGTATGTTTACCTTTTTGGACCAAAATTTTGGGTATTATAACTTTGGTAAAATTGATTAAGAAATTCTTTTTTCTAAAAATAAGAGAGAATGGCATGATAAACTGACAAAAGCCTTGTGGGCATATCGCACTACCTATAAGACTACTACACATGTTACTCCATATTCATTGATTTTCGGAACAGAAGAATATTACCTCTCAAAGTGGAATTACTGTCACTTCATATTGCTATACAATACGAACTCACCAAAAAAGAAAACAATCGTTTACGACTTGAAGGACTTGAGGCTCTTGATGAAATAGTCAAGAGACCATTTTGATCATTTTCTCTTATAAATATCCAATCAGTTACCTTTTTAAAGCCAGGAAACTTCTTTTCAGAGATATCAGCATAAACATCATAGACTGAACTCTTTTGGTACCTGCAATGATAAATATAAAAATTTGTGTTGTCATTAAGTAAGAAAGCACACATTCATAGTACAAATAAATTTGATTATTGTGTGCATACATGTCAATATTGTGCGATACTGCCCTTATCTTTGGCGAGACGTACCCCCGTACAATTTGTGTTGTAACACACGTGATGTAAAATAACGTGCTCTATATGCAATTGATGAGAAGTAATGCAAAGTTTATTGCCCGAATGGCACACGCTATTATTATTTCTCTAATTTATTACTTAAAATTAATATTAATATTATTTAATTTTAGTTTTTATTAATTTTATTTTTTTATAAGACTTTCCAAGAGTAAATAACACGAGGCATCCACCAAATCCTAAGCCAAAGCAGGACTTCAAGTGAAAATGTGATTGCTTCTACTCTAAATGATGGCAATGAAGATGGCTTCAACTCCAAGCTACAATAATGACTCCAAGTAACTGCAGTGACTTCGATGCCAGGAAAGCCTTTGACTCCAAGTGATGACTTGAAACTCCAGGCGACGACTTTGACTCTAGAAAAAGGCTCCAATCCCAAGTAACACTCAATGATGCTCTTCTACACATGGGCGGTCTGAACAAATATGCAATGCTCCTATTCATTTGCTCTCAGGTTTGACAGACACTCAACTCTTGTATTTATCATTTCTCATAAACAATATGGTTGGCATGATAGCAAATAGACAGAAAAGTGGTTGTGGTTGTTTACATGTGGATGGTTCCATGTAGATGTATAATAAATTATATTCATTTATCTCTTTTGATTTAACAAAAAAAATCATTTTTATACTTTTTAAAGATTTTGTTAACATAGTTTTTTCTTGTTTAATTCATTAGTTTCATTCATTATGTACAAAAATATTATGATGTCTTGAATTTTGAGTGTTAAGCACTTGAGCTTAAGCATTAACATTTAAAATTATAAAATTGGTACTTCTATTTATAAATTTAGTTATTTTCATTACTATGATAATTCATTTTTCAATCTAGTTGTCTTTCATAAACGCTCATATATATTTAGTGAAATATATCTATATTTATTCAATATTTTGCACTATGTTTAAACCAGAGCATGCAACGCCATGTGCAATATGCAATTACTTCAGGGAACTTTTGTGTTATGGCGCACTAGTTGCCATTGACAATATGATTGTGTGTAAATACTTGATTTTCTATCATAAACGTCGTAGAAATAACCATCCTAAAATGCTAAAAATATTCCTAAAATGGCTTGTCTTCTGGCAGTAATAGCAATAGGCTTGCTCATCTTACATCATATAAGTTCATAGAACCCTAAATTCATTCCCATAATAGCGGAAAAAAGGTACCATCACACTAGTGTTTTGTTCTTAAAAGATCCATAAATGTCAAGGATATCAAAAGTTTTGCGAGTGTGGACAATGTTTCCTCCAGCTAACCAAAAAATGGATGAGCAGGAAAGCCCAATTAAATCATAAAGTCATGATGATGAAACTTAATATGCAATGCAGAGACAGCAACAGCTCTAGAATTAAGTCTTCAAGCACTTAATTTTCATGCCAAGTTACCTATCAAAGATAAGGTGACACTGTGAAGGTGGTAACAAAAACCACAGTTTTTTCCCACATACATTAGCAGACCAGCTATACGACCTGAAAACATCAGCATGAAGTGGGGTCCAAGTACCTAAGAAGCCGGAAAACCGTTAATGGTAATAAATCAACAGATGGTACCACATAATGGAACTAGAGTTATAGAAAACAAGTAGAAAGTAAGATGATCAAAAAATCATCACAATAAATAGTTGAGTATAATAAATGACAGAAAAATGGTTGTGCATTGAATATACCTTTAACTCCTATGTAAACAAATCGGTAATCAGCACAATTTGTTTCATTTTTATCTTGAGTAATGTCTGAATCACGATGCAAGCGGTGACTATCAAGGTAAAGATTGAGCCAATCATCAACAAAAAAAGATGGAGTCGTGTAGGCGATATAATCAGGATACTCCTGAAATTAAGATAGTGAAAAGAGGCAGCAAACAGGATTGAGCAAAAATACACTATTCATCTGACATCTTGCCCAAAAGTGGTTTTTATTAACACAATTCCTTTAAGTAGCTCAAGAATCAGAAAAACTTTAAGAATATGGTAACCAAAGATAAAACCAATTGAAAGAGAACAGGATAGTTTCAGAATATTTAGAACAAATTTGATGCAGGGATTGGATCAAATAACCTTAAAAATAACTTTTTAGGTATTTATCAACTATTCAAGGTCTTCATTAACAACTTTTACACATGGAAAGCGGAGCAGTATAACTCTGAGAAACCATCATAACGGTAAAACATTTAAAAAACCTTCTAGGATAAAAATTGAAAGAGAACAGGATATTTTAAGAATATTTAGAAATTCAGCCGCAACCTCTTCCTCCTCTGCATCCCAAAATAAAAATAGAGATATTGAGTACAGAACATTCCCTGAATCCCTCATACTGAACCAATAAAGTTAGATAAGAAAATATTTCTTGAAAAATCAAATAAAGACATCCACATTACATATGCATGGATATTCTTCCATGTAGGATAAAATCTTCAAGGATATTTTCCATGTCAAGAGAAAAAGAGTTCCAAAGATACGTCAAATGTTTATTAAGATAGCATCTTTATTCAACAACTTATAAACCTTCTGCTGCACCTACTTTAAAGATTAGCTTGCACATATTTATCATTTCCGCAATTACAACTGAATTGAGACACAATTGAACATTATGAGCAAGTGAAATAAGAGGCTACTTGCAACCTACTTTGACAAAATGCCAGTCCTTCAGGTACAACAAAGATTCAGTGCCACCATTGCTGTTTGCAACTTTATTACACTTAGTAGAAGAAATACTGAGCCAATAGTCGGTGTACTCAGAGACAGACATCTCGACCCTTTTCTGATCTGTGAAAACTCTTTTACAGCAATCTGCAACCTGAAACAACGTAGAATAAAATTCATGCAAAAGATGCTCATTGCAAAAGGAAAAATTGTCATTAGCCGAAAAATCAACCAAAACGGACTTGAATATAACCATATAGGTATGCAAGGCAAGAGATTCAGTTTAACAAAATTCTATAAAACAAATAACATAATTACAATTCCAAAGAGAAACAAAAAAAAAAATCCATAAATTACGAAAATCCAGCTGGAAGCAAACAAATGTCTATTGGAAATAGGGGGAGCATTTAATATGGTAGAAAGGTGTGCTACAGCTCAGGCATTCGCTCAGACATTAGATCAAGACATCAAAGTCCCCCCATACTACCCCATCACGTACAAACACAAACCCAGTTTCAATAGCTAGAAATAAATAAAAAATTGATAAGTGTTGGCTCAAGAAAAAAGGTGACATGTCTGCATAAATCCCGCTTTGCAGACATAGAATTTCATTATCATAAAGGCAGATTATAGCTAACCAGATTGTCCCTGAGGTTAGTATCAGGGTTTGGTTAGATATGGATCCTACTTCGAGCGCAAGCCCTCATAATTAATTACCCCTCTTACTGCGTAAGAGAAAACTCTCGATTAAGGATTAAAAACTTAAGGTAGTCTCAGTTGTAGGGGAAATGGAGGTAAACTTGATCAAGATTCATGATTCCGACGTCCCGGGTATACCGTAGGTTTCAATCTACCAACACTAGCGATCGTTGATCGTAGTGTCCAGGGAAACTGATTAACAGCAATGGATTACATACTCTCAAGGATCTCAAGTAAACTGAAATGGTTAGATGTAGGTTATAGCTTAATGGAGGTTCGATGCTTACATCTATTAGAATACCCAGTAGTTGATTTAGTTTGGGATTTATAACTTCATTTAGAAGTTACCCAGTTGTTTGAATTGGTTCAGGGCTTACGACTTCTATTGGAAGTAACCCGATTGGTTTAGAAATAGTTCTTACAGCTTTTATTGAAAGTAGCCTGTAGGTTTAATTCTAGTCCAGGGCTTACGGCTTTCATTGAAAGTAACCTGGAGATTTGAATTTGGGTTTGGACTTATGTCTTTCATTGAAAGTTGTCCATAGGTTTAGTTTTAGTCCAGGGCTTACAACTTTCATAGAAAATAGCCCAAAGATTTGGATTTGGATTGGGACTTACATTTTTCATTGAAAGTTGCCTGCGGGTTTAGTTTTAGATACTAGGGCTTATGGATTTCATTGAAAGTAGCCTAAAGATTTGAATTTGGGTCAGGACTTATGGCTTTCATTGAAAGTTGTTCGTATGTTGGTTTGGTTCACTTCTTATATAAGTTTTTCTAACAGTAGCTCTTACAACTTCCCTTAGAAGATACCTGACTATTTTGGTAGGTCTTACTGCTTTTGTATTTATAAGTAGCATGAAGGTGGGTCTTACAATCTAGCCCTATAAGCTGAGTAGCCCGCAAATTTGGTTTGGATTAGTCTTACAACTTACCTTAGAAGTTGACTGTATGTTTTGGGTTTAAGGTAGTTCACTTAAAAGTTTTCCTAGCGTATGAGTCTTACTGCTTCACTTAGAAGTTGCCCGAAAATTTTTAAGACTTACTACATCCCTTTGGAAGTAGCCTGCTTGTTTTGTTTATCATAGATTGGACTGCATGTACTTTGGTTTGTTGTTGTTTAATAGTATGACACTAGACTTCTGTTTTCAGTTGTTCACTAGAAATGTTTACTCTCTGACACTTACTAAACCCGACACTAGTGTTTTTATTACAGTAGTTTCTTTCCCACTTCAGTAGTGTTCTTAGTTTCATTTGTTTCTTTTCCTTGCACTGCAATTTTGTTTTCAACATATTTTGTTCCGATTTATCTGTTGAGACCATATGTTTTACACTTGCCTTATGTGTTATGAAGCCGACAGGAGATAGTTTGTGTGCCAATAGAATGTGTTTTATGAATCCAGATATTCAAGTGAAGGATTTGTACTCAAGGTTGTGAAAGTCGGACCGTAGATAGACCCGGAAAAGAGAGAGGTTTAAGATTCAATGGTTCGATCGAGGATGAATCAAGGTCGAACCGAATGATGTAATAAATATTAATTTATTTAAATGATATCTAAACAATGAGAAAATGATATGATGATTATGAAATAATATAAATTTGTGACTAAAAACTAAATAAATTCATACTCAAATAATATATTATGTAATTTTAAATTTAAATGTCCTCAATCATTAATTTTAATTCTCATTTATAAATTTCATTCACATATAAATTTATAAATTTAATATAAAAAATTAGTAATTTATGTTATATAGTTGGATATAATTTACACCTATAGATTATATACAAGATTTACATTATAAAATTACATTTATACTACATCATTTATAATTAAAATTAAATAAAATTTTGGCTTCTAATATTATATAATTAAATAACTAAATAGATAAAAATTAAATATTACTAACTAAAAAAAATATTAATACATTACAAAAATTAATTAAAAATATGTAGTTTATGTATTTTGAACCTAAGAATTTCACTTTAGTTATTATTTAGTCTTGCATCATTTGGATACTTTACTTTAGTATTGTTTATATAACTTTTTTGGTTTGAAGAAGTTAACAAGTCACATGGATGGTGGGGCCATGTAAATAAGCTTAGTTGAAGCTTGTTTGACAAATGATTATTACAAAATTTTAAAATTGATTTTTAAATTAAAATATATTATATTTAAATTATTAAATTTATCATTTTAAATTCAATTTATTAAAATACTTTATTTAATTATATAAAGAAGATAATTGAACTGACCAGTTTTTTAAAACTAGAAATAGTTCAACAGTTTGGTAAACTAGAACCACAAAAATGATTTTTCGTGTCACTTTCGGGTCAATTTCGTGTTTCCGTGTCAACCCGAACCCGACCCGATTTTTAAAACGGGTTGATTTCTTCAACCCGAACCCGACCCGTTTCGGGGTTGGGTTGACCCGAACCCGGATTTTTCCGGGTCGGGTTCGGGTCGTGTTTCGTGTCGTGTCAAAAATTGACACCCCTAATTATTGTGCTAACGCATTTATGACTCTAGCATTTTTGACATAAAAAATAAGCTCCAAAAATAAGAAAATTGTCTAAACTCTCAAGGAATAAAATAAAAGATATCACCATTCATTGTCTTTAATGGCATGGGTAGATAATGATGGTAAACACAACAACCCTAGAGCTTCAAGGCATCATCATCTCAGAACAAGACCAAATTGAGTAATTGAATTTTACTTTTAGTCTAGTATTAGTTTGCTTTTATTTATATGATTGTCTGTGTTTAATTATGTCATTTTATTTTTTGTTTTAACATTTGTCATTTTTCAGCCCTGAAATGTGAATTGCTCTATAGGGAAATCAACCTTCGGGTTTATGGCTCATTCTATAAGTAGATCAAGAAGGCTTGTAAAACCCATTATTCCAATGAATGGAAAGCTCCCGTTGCCTCCTTGACGTTTCGGCCATCCCCATTGCCTAGCTAACCGTTAGCTGGGTGATGCCGTTTTACACGGCTAAGGAATTCATCGTTTTATCCTCTTAACTCCTTGCCTAAACATTTCCCCTTGTTCCTCAAACCCATCAAGACCGGCACCCTCCCCAAATATAAAAAGTGAAAACCCTAATTAATAAAAACTAAGACAACCTACGACTCAAAACTCCGTGGGAAGATAAATAAAAAGGCAGCCTCTTTCCAGAGGGTAACTGAGAAGAGTATCACCTGAACCATGGATTTGCCGAAATGGTCAGCGAAGAAGCGGATATTTGGTCGGCCATCGGCAGTGACCCAATCAGTGCAGGCCTGCCATCCATCCATAAGGTCCGTAAGAACCACGGGGAGATTATTCTTGAGATATCGATCGACGAAATCCGCGTAACCAAGCTTCCGCCCGTCCACTCTCTCCACCTTCGCTCCAATCTCCATAACGCAAATCGTGTCTTGACTCTTGACACCCATGCAACATTGCAACATGATAGTGCATATATAGTTGATTTAGTTTAAGATACCACCATTAAAATTTAGATATTTATTTTAGATTAATGGTTTCACTTCCAATATTTATAAGCAGGTTTTTTTTTCCGAATTTTATTAATGATGATATAAATATATATTTTTAATTTGTAAAATAAATTAGAATAATCCTATTTTGTTCATTTTTTTTATCTTAAAATAGAATTGATGCGGACTAGAATATACGTGGAGGTAAAGTCAAAAGTTTATGTCTTAGCATTGTACGAATATCCAGCACACAAACAAATAACACAAGATTTCTTACTTAGAAAATCTTGAAAAGGGGAAAAACTACGGGGTCACACCCAGTTGAAACAATTCCACTAGTGTTTGAGTATGTTGCAGTTGACTAAATCGTCATTGAGAGCGATCAGATTACAATAATCAATTGTCTGGTTGAAATCTAGTGACAAACAGAGGTCGGGCGTAGGCCTAACGATGTTTGGTCGGGCGAAAGTCCGGCTTCAGTTGGTGGTCCAATGGAAGTCCGGCGTCAGGTGGTGGATTAGCAGAAGTCCAAATGTTAGTCAGTGGTCCGATGGAAGTTCGAGCGTCAGTTGGTGGTCCGATGGAAGACGGCATAAAGTGATGGTCTTACAGAAACTCAGGCATCAGTTGGTGGTCCAGTAGAAGTTTGATGTTATTTGGTGATCCGGTGAAAGTCCAACATCAAGTAGTGGTTCGACGAAATTCTACACGTCAGTCAGTGGTCTGGTGGAAGTCCAAGTGTTAGTTGGTGGTATGGCGAAAGTCTGATATTAAGCAATGGTCCAGCGGAAGTCCGAGCTTTAATTGGTGGTCCGTTGGAAATCTGGGCGTTAGTTGCTCTACGATCTCCTCCCCGATTTTACCTTACATCATTCATCTTGATTCCACTTTCGAAATATGGCTTATCCTTGAAACTCGGTTTAATCCACAAATTGTTCTAAAGTTATTCAACTAAATAACGAATTGCATAATATTTCTCTCAAGAACTCCACCATGACTCAATATCTAGCCGAAATAAAATCTCTTGTTGACAACATAGCTTTGACCGCCTATGAGGTGGACACCGAAGACATTATCTTATATATCTTTAATGGTCTTCCACCTTCTTATCAATCTTTTAAAACAACCATTAGAACTATGTTAACCCCCATCAGCCTTGACAATCTCTACGCGCTTCTTCTTAGCGAAGAAATCAATCTCACCTCTGACTTGTCTCGTCTTTCCTCTCTTCCCGATCTGAATGTCGCCCTTCTCTCTATTCGTGGTCGAGGTCGCCGTAATAGAGGACGTGGGTTTTCTCATTTGACAACTCCAAACCAACCTGCAGCACTTCATCTCGTTGTCTGTCAAATTTGTCTAAAAAAAGGTCATGTCACCCCTGATTGTTGGCACCGTCTCAATACCCAATACACTCCCAAGAATTCCAACCATTTCAACAAAGCGCTGGTTGCCGAATTGCAACATCTTCCACGAACTGGTTTCTTGATTCTGGAGCATCATCGCATCTCACCAATGCTCTGAAAACCTTACAGTTTCTTCTCCATATCACGGTCCGGAAGGTATTACCATTGGAGATGGAAGCTCTGTAAGTATAGCCAACTCCGACGCAGGTTTGGTACCAACACTCGCTCGTAAGCTTACCCTATCTCTTTTTCATACTTCTAATCTTCAATACAATTTGATATCTATATCTCAGCTTATTAAAGATAAAAATATCTCCATTAACTTCGACACTAACGGCTTTGTTTTGAAGGATCTGACGACACAAGAAATGCTTCTTCAAGGACCGTGTAGCAATGATCTTTATCCTGTTAAAACAACTACCAAGCAATTGCATCATGCGTACTCTGCTACTGCTTCTTCCTCCATCCCTTGGCATGACCAATTGGGACATCCCAACAAAAATACCTTACATGTTCTTGCTGTGTTTAACCCCTCTTTACATATAAATCTTACCAATAAATCTTGTAATTCTTGTAATCTTTCAAAAGGCCATAAACTTCCCTTTGAAAGATCTAAAACTCGCAAGAAAGATATGTTAGAACTTGTTCATTCTGATATTTGGGGTACTGCACCTGTTGTTTCAACATACAGTTTTCAATATTACGTTATCTTTGTCGATGATTTTTCCAGATTTACGTGGATTTACCCTATGAAATTTAAATCTGAGGTTGCTGATATTTTTACACGCTTCAAAAATCAGATCGAAAAATATACATCTAAACAAATAAAAAGGTCTACGTACCGATGGCCGGGGAGAATACCTTAGTCACACGTTCACTCAATTTCTTCAAAATCACGGTATTTCCCACCAAATATCATGTCCCTACGCACCCGAACAAAACAGTGTAGCCGAGCGAAAACATCGCTATATAATTGAGACGGTTTGCTCACTTCTTCACACAATTCATGTTCCCTACTTTTATTGGCCCGACGCTGCTCTAACGTCTGTCTATCTTATAAACTGAATGCCATCCACTAAGACCAAAAATATTTCTCCCTTCGAACTTCTACATCACATGAAGCCAAACTACACTCACGCACTTTTGGATGTGCTTGTTTTCCTCTTACACCTACGCACGCTCGGCATAAACTCTAACCAAAATCTCAACTCTGTGTTTTTCTTGGATATTCTGACACTTACAAAGGATATAAGTGCTTAAACTTATCCTCACTGAAGATCATTATCTCTAGACATGTTAATTTCGACGAACAACAATTTCCATTTGCTGACACCTCTTGCAAACCAAAATTCACTTTACATGATCACACTCCGGCATTAATGCTCATCTCGGTCTCTGCTCACGTTCCACAACACAATCTAATTCTGCAAAATCATAAGCAGGCTGTTGATGTTATTAGCAGAAATAGAACCTTCTATTCTTTATTTCTTTATTTACATCTTTAACATTGTAAATTCTATAAATACTCTACTGTATCACTTAATAACATATACAATATTCCCTTTCTTTCTCTCTGTTTCGCCTGTGTTCTGTCTCCTTGCGATCCAACGCTCAGGCCTGTTAACAGATGTGTCCCAACAACATCCAAATACACCTATGCCTCAGCACTCTCCAAAATGGGTTAATTCCTGCCTCCAACTCTCCGTCCAGATCTCAGCCCAGCACAATTCAGCATCCTATGGTCACCAGATAGCAAACTGGTTCCTTAAAATCATTAATGCGTGTAAACCTGCTAGACCAACAACTTCCAAAGCATCTTTAATCAAACCCGATTGCCTACTCGGAAGCTGTCAATCATATCGAATGGCGTCAAGATATGACCTATGAAATCCTTGTGTTACAACAACAAGGAACTTGAAGTCTCATTCCACCACCCAAGTCCTCCGTTCTTGGCTGTAAATGGGCATACCGTACTAAATATCATTCTAATGGATCGGTAGCTAAATACAAAGCTCGGCTTGTGGCGCTGGGCAATAATCAAGAATTTGGTCTCTATTACACCGAGACTATTAGCCGGTAGCTAAATTACCTACTATTCGTATACTTCATACAATTGCTTTGCATAATGATTGGTGGGTTCAGCAGCTCGATGTCGCCAACGCCTTTCTTCACGGCAACCTTACCGAAACGGTATATATGAAACAACCTAAAGGCTTTGAGGACTCTACTCATCCGAACTATGTTTGTCGTCTTCACAAAGCACTATACGGCCTTAAACAAGCTCCACGCGAATGTATAACACTTTCACTGCTTATTTAATCTCCCTCGGGTTTCAAAATAGTTCTTCTGACCAATTGCTATTTATCTGCACTAAATTAAAAATTCAATTATTTCTTCTCATTTATGTCGATGATATTCTCTTTATCGCTAATTATCAATCGATGCTTTGTAAGATTCTTGAAAAGCTAAACTCTAAGTTCTCTATGAAGCATCTAGGTGCTGTTCATAATTTTTTTGGTATTCAAATTGATTATCATGAGCAAAAATATTTCCTCTCCCAAAAGAATTATGCTACTTCCATTCTTAATTTAGCTCACCTAAATCAATGCAATCCTGTCAATAACCCAACATGTACAAAATTTCCCAAAGATTTTTCGCAGGATGCTCTTCTCTCCGATCCAACCTTATACAGAAGATTAACTGGGTCTCTGCTGTACCTCACGCTCACTCGCCCGGACATCGCCTATAGTGTTAATCTTATGTCTTAAAACATACACAATCATTTACCTCAACATGTTTTTCTTCTCAAACGTTTTATCCACTACATCAAAGGTACGGTGCACTTTGGTATACCAATCACAAAATCTAATATGTGTCTCACTTCTTTTTCAGATGCGAATTGGGCCGGCGACCTAACCTCTCGCAAGTCTACATCCGGATATTGCTCATTTTTAGGGGATACTCTCATCTCCTGGACAATCAAAAAATAGTATACGGTAGCTCGATCATCTACCGAATCAGAATACCATGCTTTAGCCGCCCTCACTACCGATGTAATATGGATTCGTAAACTGCTTGCTGAATTCAAAGTTCCTCAAATGCAACCTACCGACATATATTATGATAATACATCGACTATCGCCTTGGTCAACAAACTGATCTTCCACGCTCGTACAAGACACATAGAAATCGATCAATAATTTGTTCGAGATCATATACAACAGAAGTGCATTCGCATTTTACCCATTAATATGTTGGATCAAGTTGCCGATATATTCACAAAATCTTTATCAACTCCAAGATTTCAAACACTACGACTCAAACTAAATGTTCATCAAAACCCATAAGTTTGTGGGGGAGTATTACTAAATAAGTAAAATGAAATAAACAAAAACAAATAATGAACTGTCTAGCTCTCATTGGTCTAGCTTTCTTGTTTGTATTACTCTAGTCTATATATTGATGTAATCTCTGTAATACACGATATGGAAATAAGACAAACTCTTTACTGTATTTTCATCATCCTCTCTATTACTCTTCTCTGCTGCATCCCGATCTTGCAAATCAAGATCTCTTCGTTTTCACAGTTAG